ATATTTTATGGAATATATAAGTGAATCTATAGATAAAGGAAATCTTCCTCAAATTTTTATATTTCGAAATGTTATAAAGGAGTTGGGGTATTTTGTAGAATGAATCGGGGGAGTTTTTTCATGCATTTCGCATATGTTTTTCATATAAAAAAATTTCAATGCACTTTAAAACATTTTTAATTTTCAAAGTGCTGGCCCAAACCAATCAAAAGCCACTGGACCTGTTCTCATTCCAACTAGGGTTCTGAAGGAATGCAGTGACATATCACTATTCCTTCAGATTATTTTTCAACGGTCTATCAGTTCCCTGTATGCACAAATCTACTAGTTTCGACTATTGCGTATATATATTTATAGTTTAATCTTGTTCTGAAAATAAAATAAAAAATCAAATAAACACAAAAAATATTATACATCTAGTCAAAAAGACTGTAATTCTAATTAGCTAAGCGTGACCGTAGCGCATAATATTACGTGACCAGTCTATTTGCGACTATGTTTGTTTTGATAAGTTTAGCCACGGGCGTGCAAAGAGATATCTAAACTTTTGACACGCTCTATCCAAGCAAGGTCTTTGTACGTTTTGAAGCGGAGTTTCTAGACTATCTTTGCACGTCTATAAATTACTTGACACTTCACATTTGACGCAGTGTTGGTTATCCCTGTACAATTTATTCCTAATATCTTGATGGCTAATATTGGGTCTTAAAGACACTGGTCCTTTGGAAAACAACACCTTCAAGGAATGATAATTCCACATGAAACTGAATCAAGGACTTAAATCCTTAAATATAGCAAATGATTATTGCTGCCATTTTGAATGTTGACCAGACTGTTGTGCTGTATATCAAGAGGGATTCATGATATAAGTACTTACTACTCGATACCTTTAACACTGAAACCATTACCAGGTAGATGTAGTTTTACACGACATATAGAATGTCAGACGATTTTTGATTATATCTGCTCCAGTGATGTTGCATTCATGAAACTATGAACTGTGGGTTTTGTTGCATATCAATGTAAGTGATAGTCAAAGTCAAAGTGTAATGGATTTACTAAACACCCATTCTCAATAAGAATGCAAAATCGATGTCCCAGGGCTCTATCTCAGCATTTACATTACCAACATCACTTTTTGTTGTATATATAAATAGTACATATGACCCTCTACCTAGCACATATGTAATATATAATTTCTCAGTTACACCTATTTTATTATATGTACTAGAATAGGGCTATTCATCAGTTACGTGACTGTCGCCATATCAAAAATCAGGATTGTATGGTGCCATTAGAACACTTTTCATGCGTTACATCCCATATAAAGTGGTGTTTTATACACATGACGATCCCAGCTTCTGGTTAAATGACAGAAACTATCATTTTGACATATTTACCATGTTGAAAATGTTCCTTGACAAATGTCGCCAGACTTTTTTATATCAACCCCCTTGTGCTATAAATCATATAAAAACTGGTGAAAAATTAATGTTTTATATGTGCCATATTCGTATCTGGATTCCAATTTGAATACTTAATAGAACGTCGTACAAGTTGATATTTGAAACGTTGAGATTTGGGGGCCAGAAAATTATAATTCCCGTTTTTCATGAAGTTATAGATAAGAAAATCATTTACGTGATCATAGTTTCCACAGGCAATAAGTGTCTGAGCATATTAATGTTATATCACCTTATTGTATGGTAGGAGTGACCCTGGCTGATCAGTATTTTTAACTAAATTGACATTGTTTGAATATAATACAGCCAGCAAAAGGGTATTTGCATCATTTACGACACCATCATTTACGATACCTAGTAGTACGAAAATAACGGTTACCATACTCCTAGCTCTGAATAAAGTTTATAAAGCGGGAAATTTGAGTATCCATATTCATTTGAATCTGAATAAAGAAACACTACCACCTTTTTAGAGTAAATCCACACAATTTAAGGTATATATCACACCTAATATAGTATCTCTCTTGTTAAAAGAAGATGTAGTGTTAATTTGATGTTATCTATGGCATAAACACAGTCGGTATAAATGTGAAAATGAACATAAAAACACTTTTCTATCATTCATTTTGAAGTGAACCTATAGTCTTGCGTTTTCTATGTCATAAATTACGTTACCCATGGTAACGTAATTGATAAATTCTATTGCACACATTTTCTATCGTCAAATCTTTACAGATATGTTCATTTATCAACTTGTACTTTTCGTAGATGGGTAAGCATCCTGCTGAAATTCAAGAAGACTATCGTGATAGGAAAAAAGCACCAAATAGAGCGTGCTCGGGTTCATAAATGCATTGTCTCAATAGCTGCGTGCACTATCTGAAAAGATAAAGACCATAAAAGAAAAAAATATGTCATTGCGTCCGAGACATGTTATGTTAGTCTCAGATAGCGTAATAATACAGGAGACAAATCAAAAAGAAGAAAACTGTTAGCAATGACCCAAGTAATGCCGATAACAATGATTGTGACCGTGTTTATGACAGTGGTACAAGTAACACACAATTTATAGTTCATATTAATTTTGCCTGGAATTTTGCAAAAAGGACATGCATGGCTCTTTAGAAAACGGATAAGTAGAACTTGGGGACGTACGTAGCCATAAGAAAACAAAGCTCCCTGAACATAGATAAACAGGGAAAAAACAATCACAAATCATTCCCAAGGATCTTACAGAAGCAGAGAAAAATAGAATGAAGGGTCCAAGCACGCCAAAAACACCAAAGAGTGCAGGGGAAAAGTGATGCGATGCAAACTTTAGCATAGTGATATCCCTAGAGTTGAGGAGAAGATTACTACGAGGAAAACACGTAGTTGAAGAGGCGAAGCAGACGCAACATGACTGGCGGGGAAATGCCTGAAAAGTGTTCAAGTCTAGTTGATATAATATTACTAAAGGCGATGGAAGATGATACAAGCTTAAGGGCCTTTCCTGGCTGGACAAAAATGAAATGAGTACTCGACGTTTACCACAAGCAAAGGAATATTTTGTTGAAGCAAATAAACAGTGTTAAAAGTGCACCGCACAAAATGAAACGAACCAGGAATGACATACAAGAAGAGACAACCAAGAGTATTCTGACAGGGCCATCATGTGGACTGAGAGTGGAGATAAAGAGCTACATTTTGGCGATTTTTTTCACTGCAGTTTACAATACTGTTGGTATGTCGAAAAGGCACTGCATGTGATACTGATGATGATAAATACTATTTTTTAGGAAAAGAAGAATCTCCAATGGTCTCTAGAATGTTACGTTATTTGGCTGAGAGTCTCAGATTTTGAGTGTGTAGTAGAAGAGTCAATCCCAACAGGGAAGTTTAAAGGGCTATTTAAACTCTAGATCTGTGTCCTGAGATTTAAACTCATGTTCTATGGACCTATATGTCCAAGCTAGGATTTAGAAACGTTTCAGGAGTTCATATGTACCTATGATATAAGAGTAAACACTGAATGTTGTTACTTTTTGACGATAATCACAAATTATATAGTATAGTTTTGATCTTGTGATTGTAAGTTTTGTAATCACTTACGTTACAAAGGATTTAGCATTACAAATGTGTGAAGAAAGATTATGTCCCTTTAATCCTGTATATATTTATTCCAACATATAGCGTATGTGACAATATATTAATTCATTACGTGTTTTGTGCATAAATAATGTTTGTGTTAGCTTTAATGTTTCTATTGCAAAAGTTAGTTAATTTCACCATCATTTACGTTACATGATGGTCCACAGAACTATGTTTTTTAAATGTTACTATTGGTTAAAATGTAGTGTAAACATGATAAAAGAAGCACCAGTTGATGGTTTAACCATGATCACATATGATATGACTCATTCTACGATGTTACTTTTTTTGGATCATATACGTTACCAAGGGTGTAACGATATACAAATCTCAAATACATTTTGTATGGCATATCAAACTCCAAGATACGGCTATCATTTTATTCTGAACACTATTTCTAATCAGAAAAGAAATATAAATTTAATGTTATCAAACTGAGTTTTTATAAAATTGGAATGACATGTAGCACTTAGGTTTTGTTTGAGAAAAGGAATAATAAGTCACATGTAATTGTTGACTTCAATGTGAATTCTTTCCACTTGTGTATCTTCAAAATGCCTGATGTATGATTTAGTATTAAGGCAAAATATATCCTTATTGTTAGGTACAAAAACAGACATGAGAATAATATGTTGAATAAAAATATAGGTCGCTTGCTTCGACAACCCCCTATAACGTAAATGACAGAGACTTACATTTTTAAATGAATACTAGATAAGCTTCAACATGTGACTTTTCCATGAAGGGGTATGAGATTGATGAAGATATTTTTCCTTTTAGATACTTAACATATATTCAAATAGAAATACATCAACTTTAAACCATTTAAAGCTACTTTAATTTTTGTCAGATTCATACCTGGAATTTGCATTCTTATTGAGAATGGATGTAAAACGTATCCCGTATTGCCTTCAATCCTAACTTAACTGCACCCACTATTCCCTATCTTTGCCTATACGCGGTTTTTGCTAATACGATTCAACAAACTGCTTGATGAATCTATTCTATCCCTGGTAGATCAGTAGGAATATATGTAAAATGGAAATTATGGAAATATGGAAACCCACGTCCTCCATTTGCAACTTAACTGTAGCTTGTATCCCTTTTAAACGTTTTCACGTGGTAGGCCAGTATGTAATAGCGAGAACCCTGGTAGATGGTTTACATAGGACTTTTTGGACAAGATTTCAGGATGGAAAATTCAAAATGGCTGCCTTGAAAACCAAGCATGTTCAAAATCGAATTAAAATGAGAAATACTTTAATATTATAAATTATTTTGATAGAACCCCATGGTGTAATCAAATAAAGGTTTTTAAAACTCTATTTATTCATGGTTTAAATAGTTTACCATACTCTAATGCCCTCTTAATGCTGTATTATTGTATAATGGCTTCTTAATCCTTACCTCGTAACCAGAGCCAACCTTCCTTAACAATATTGCCCCTCTCACTCATGGCACCTAATGCAGGTATACTAGCTATTGAACAGCTTAATATATAAAAGATCTGAAAACAGGAATCATATATACTATGAAAAATATTATTCACAATTCAATTTCAGCATTAGTTTCAGCATTAATTTCAGCAATAACACGTTTAGTTCACAGTTAACCATTGTTTATATGGACTTAACATTTTTACATTACGTATATACAACACATAAAATTGCCATGGTATTTCATTTATTGAAATAGCCATACAAAAAAACTTTGCCCATACGGTACACAGTCACTGAAAAATATTAAATGATTTTGTTTTCCCTTTAAATGTTTTATGTGCTTCATTGATGCTAATGTTAGCATCATAGACTAGAATCTGACCCAGTGTCAATTTCAATGCATTTAAGGTGCCATGAAACTTAAAAGGAAATGACGAAACAGGAACTGACAATTTTTTTTGCATTTTTAAACATTTTTTGAACAAAGATAACAGAGTTCTGTTTTGTCTTTCAGTCAATTCAACTAGTTCCACATACCACTTACAGGTCCAGGGTCACAATGTTCATGGTCAGAATGGCCCTAAACATGATGAAATAACCTTTTCAGCCCTTTGAAAATTTGACTGACAAATAGCTAAAAGTAGGAGCAAGGGAAGGTCACTGAACAGAATCTTTTGAATTTTTCAGAAAATGGGCCCAATGTAATGCTCTAACTGATACAATCTTTGAAATCGGAAACTTGTCTTGGAAACTTGTCTGAAACAAAAATGGCGGTCATAAAAAGGAAAATAGATCGCTTTTCAAATCAGTGTTTTTCTTTTTTTTTCTTTTTCTATGAATGATATCATTTTTTTCAAGTTTGTATCATTTAGAGCAATATATTGGGCACATTTTCTGAAAAATTCAAAAGATTCTGTTCAGTGACCTTTCCTGCCTCCTACTTTTCAGAGGGCTGAAAAGGTTATTTCATCATGTTGTAGGGTCATTCTGACGATGAACATTTTGATCCTGGACCGGTAAATGGTATGTGGAACTAGTTGAATTGACTAGAGGTCAAAACAGAACTCAGTTATCTTTGTTCAAAAATGTCTAAAACTGCAAAAAAATTTGTCACTTCCTGTTTTGTCATTTCCTGTTAAGGTGCTATGGTAGAAAGCAACTTACTTTTTCACCCATTGGAATACATGTAAAATTGGCAAAGTTCAAATCATAATTTCTCAAATCCCAGCCAATCGAATCCTCGCATCCATTCAGATCATGTAATCCTATTCAAAAACTTTCCGTTCGGTTATATGGTGAAAAAAATATCCCACGAACGAAAAAATATTTTGCTTCATTTATAAGCGAGAATTGATTTCTGGGCCTATAAAAAGCACGTAGGACTTGATTACCCCATTGATTTACTGAGACCGCCAAAAATATAATTCAATTTTTTGGGTTCAAAATTACAATCTGTCAGCGGTCTCTGACACCCCTACTAGCTATTACCAAACATTAATTGTCAATGCATGTACACATATACGTGCCATACATCTACAAAGTAGCAAACTAGTGTTTTAACTACTACTTTTCCTATACGATGACCAAAACAAATCTCAAGTAGGTTGTATTGACCCTAGGGAAGTTAACAGTAAATGACAAAACAGGAAGTGACAATTTTTGGGGGATTTTTAGATATTTTTTGAACAAAGATAACAGAGTTCTGTTTTGACCTCCAGTCAATTCAACTAGTTCCAAATACCATTTATAGGTCCAGGATCACAATGTTCATGGTCAGAATGACCCTAAACATGATGAAATAACCTTTTCAGCCCTCTAAAATTGTGACTGAAAAATAGCTAAAAGAAGGGGGTAGGAAAGGTCACTGAACAGAATCTTTCAAATTTTTCAGAAAATGTGCCCAATATATTGCTCTAAATGATACAATCATTGAAAATTTGATATCATTCATAGAAAAAGAAAAAAGAAAGAAAAAAATGATTTGAAAAGCGATCTATTTTCCTTTTTATGACCGCCATTTTTGATTAAGACAATTTTCTAAAATTTCAAAGATTGTATCAGTTAGAGCATTATATTGGGCACATTTTCTGGAAAATTCAAAAGATTCTGTTCAGTGACCTTCCCTAGCTCCTACTTTTAGCTTTTTTCAGTCACACTTTCAAAGGGCTAAAAAGCTTCTTTCATCATGTTTAGGGTCATTCTGACCATGCACATTGTGATCTTGGTCATGTAAATGATATGTGGAAACAGTTAAATTGACTGGAGGTCAAACAAGAACTCTGTTATCTTTGTTCAAAAAATGTCTAAGAATGCAAAATATTTTGTCACTTCCTGTTTCGTCATTTCCTGTTAACTTTCATGGCACCTTAAATATCATGGCACCTTAAGGACAGGGTGCATGTCGGGAAATTTTCTGCATTCCTCAATTGAGTCACATGTTATTTTTCAAACAAGAATAACTCCTTCCCCACATTGTCTACATCTTCCAGGTTTGCACAAAGCGTGCACTTATGTACCTAGAAAAGCCTTGTGAGAAGATTTGTTTTGTAAAATGTTTAAAAAACGAGAAAATTCAGTGAAAAAAATTTCTGAAAATTTTCTGAATTTTTTCACTGAATTTTCTTGTTTTTTATACACTTTATCAAAACATTCTTCTCACAAGTCTTTTCTAGGCACACTTTGTGCAAAACTGGAAGATATAGACAATATGGGGGAGGAGTGATTCTTGTTTGAAAAATAAGATGTGACTCAATAGAGGAATGCAGAAAATTTCCCATCATGCACCCTGACCTTAAACTAAATAGACAAAATACACTTACCTCAAATCAATTACAAAGAAAACTTACCAGTAAAACACTGACTTGTTTATCCATCAATAATAAATTGCAACTAATCGAATTTTTAATCTGACTACTATTATTTCAATTTTATCTGTAAAGTCCACTGAGATCTTGGCACAGTACACTGTATAAATGAGGTACACGGAGGTACACTGGATAGATAGATCAACTCAAGTCAATGATTTCTCCTCTGAAGTACATTGTATATTGTATAAAACCATTTGTATTTGATTCACTGGCCTCGGTTATCCTCAATTCAGTGTACCGTTCAACCGCAATTATCTCAGTGGAGTTTATACCCTTACAAAAACTTTACATATTTAGTAAAAAATATACTTTTGTAAATATGTACTTTTTTAGCCGAATCATTTAACTATGCTCTAACCATGCTTTGATTAGAAAACTGTACAAGCAAGGTAAATGGAATTCATCCTCATGAGTGATGTGAAATATGAGGAATTGGAAGTATCCAGTCTTCATAGATCTATTCATTTTTGTGTTTTCTTTTCTTTTCAGTAAGCATTATGGGTTGATGTTCATATACCGCATCCAACCATCATTCGTACAAAGGTCAATTAATAGTCACCGTCATATATTCATGTAATACTAAAATTATTGTTTTTCTTTAAATGTGACGTCACTAATATCATAGCCTCGTTCTGGATCCAATAAGTGACTGATCAAGTTTCTGTTCATGTTCTCTTACTGCTCGTTGTTTTTGTCGCACCACCCCACCTTCCCATTATCACGGTAAGCAACCATACCCCACCGGATATTCCATTATAAACACACGTGTAAGTAACTTGCCCATGGCAATTTTTCTTTGTTCTTTTTTGCTTTTAATTTTCAATACCATAGCATTAACTAACAACCCATTATGCAAATTTTTACTGCGTTCAATTTTTATAATGGAGCCCAATGAGAAAAATTACTGGGGCGATTTTCTTGAAACTCACAGAAATGATTCGTAATGATAATATAAATATTTTGACGAGAAAAAAATCACCCTCCCGTTTAATAGCATAATATAGAAAAATGTAAACTATTCATAAAATCTGTGGAAATAGATTGAAGGGATGACCTTCATTTTTCATATGACATTTTATATTACAGGGTAACCATAATTTTCGCACTTGAAAAATTATTTCTTCATTGTATATGGCTTAAATGATAAATAATTGAGATATTTTTTTTATTATTGATCCGTGTAATTATTTATTTATTTCTTCAATCAAAAGTAATGACAAAATACATTTAATGCAGTAAGTAAAATATCACAATAATTTTAACCTTCTTCGTGTTATAATGAAAACAATTAATAAAAACTCAAATATGTTTGCTTTGTTCTGGTCATCTTATGCTTGAAATAGAAATAAACCATGCAAAATTTATATTTTCACCATTCAGGGTTACCTATTATTATACAAGCTATACCTTTGCAAAATATGAGCCAGGCCACGGGAAAAGGAGTCTTATCACAGATTTTTTCAATATTCTGATTTTTTGTTTTCCTTAAAAAGCACAAAATGACCTTCCAAATGAGCCACGGCTTGTGTCTTACTAATTTTTCCTTGCATATATAGACCAAAAAGTTGGATTTAAATTTAGCTCATTTTGTAGCACAATTCTAATTTTTGTGATAAGACTGATTTTACTATGGCCAGGCTCATATTTAACTTATTATTCTCATTCTCTCTCTCACTCTCTATTTTCTTTTCAATTTGGCCTGGATTGCCGTACTTATTAGGTTTAGCAAACCATCCATTTCGTCGAAACTTCCTAAACGATTTTCCTTAGCTCCTAATGAATGTATGGAATAGAATGTATGAACATTCACAGTTTCAATTAGTGTTTTCTGACCAATTGTATCAGCGGACTTATTCATTTCATAATAACGTAATATATGACCTACTTATAACTTACACACATGTTTAAAGACTTGTGTAAATAATAAGTAGGTCAATATTACATAATCATGAAATGAATATGTTCGAAGATATAATTGGTGAGAAAGTACTAAAAGCTGTTCAAAGCTGCAACACTTTCGTTGCTCTATTCCACATAATTTAGAAGTGAAATTACAATGAATAAGTAGCTGTAAGCACAATCATTGTATAGAAACTTTATTGAGTTTTGGAAAATTATAGTGCTGTAATAAAAGCGTTCTATCATTAAACTTCAGCCTTCCTACTATCAGAAAGATCGAAATATGGCCACCATTATATTTCAACCTCCCCACATCAATCACTGAAAGTACAATGTTTTGACCTCATTTCAGTCCAAGCATCATTCACTGAATATCAGTGTGTCTTTCTCATTATATTCCAAAAATCCTAAATACCAGTATATGGTAGCCATCATGGTCAAAACTAGTTCAACAAGTTAAACCTAGTCTGGGCCTCATTTCTTATCTGACATATCTTGTGGCCCGCCCTAGGTTTAACGTCCGTGCCTATTCGGCCCTAAATGCAAAAAAGATTAATGGTGGTCTATAGCAGCGCATGTAATTCCATGCGCGTTTGATTAATAACTGATAGTGAGAATTTGCAACAGATGAAAGCATAGCACGGAAGTTAAACCCAATCACGGCTACAAGAACATTCAGATTAATAAATGAAAGCCGTGGTATTGGGTTTAACTTGTTGAACTAGGTCAAAACATCAAACGATTAGTCACTGAAAGGTCAAAATGCTGTAACCATTATATCTCAACCTCCGATCATTGATTATCGAAAGGCAAATGTTCGGTCTCTATAATATTCCAGTCTTCCCACTTATAACTATCAGTTACTTAAAGGCCAGGGAATAGTCCCTTTTATTGTTATATAAATTTGCTCAATATGTTATACATCACGCCCATCATCACTCACTAAAACAATTCAGTTCCGTGTGACGGTTGAACCTTCAAACAATCAGTCACTGATAGTTCGAAATGTGGTCTCCATAATATTCCAACCGTCCCACTTCAAACCATCAGTTACTTAAAGGTGAAAGTAGAATTATATTCCATCTTCCCCATCATCCATGTGTGAAAAGTAAATTGTGGTCATCATTTTGGTTAAACCATCACAAACTATAACAACTATAACAACCATAACTTTATCATTTCAAGAATATATTGCCATTTAACGATCTTTTAAGGAAATCTCTCAAAATTAGAGTACTGTACTCCCACTAATATTTGACCCTATTATATTTCGCAATTTTGCGATTTTGAAATTTCGCGGATATTATATTTCGCTAAATTTTAGATTTTTGAAAATATGCGGCTATTAATTTTCACTGTAGCTCACTTCTCAAAATGTGTCATGCTTCTTTTATTTAGGTTGGTGATTAGTTTAGCACGTTTTAACAGTTTTAGTGGGATTGTCATGCAATACCACGCTTTCAACTTCAATGTCAGCCATTATTGCCTTTCATCTTGAGCAATTTTGTGAGAATGTTCATTTAATAATGATCTTCCAGAAGCCGAATGTAAGAATACAGTAACCTCCCAACCTTTAATCGCCAAATACTGGACGGAACTATCATCAACATTGAGTGAAATAAATTCCCAGGAATTTCGCGACTATTATATTTCGTGAAAAAATTAGAAATTTTCGAATTTCGCGGCTATTATACGAGGGGTGATCAATAAGTAATGGACGCTTTTTTGCACAGATGCTTTTTATCGACCAATCCCTTCGATTTTCCTACAAGTGATACATCATTCAATTATCTATCAATTCTGAAGATTTGAAGACAAAATATATAATACATGTTGATATATCCTTATTTCCGTGAAGGAGATACAGGTACCCCGGGATTGATAGATAATTGAATGATGTATCACTTGTAGGAAAATCAAAGGGATTGGTCTATAAAAAGTATTTGTGTAAAAAAGCGTCCATTACTTATTGATCACCCCTCGTATTATGCGAATCTTCGGAAAGTAGCAAAAGCGCAAAATAAGGTACCACGCGAAAATTACCGGGAGAACAGTATTTGTATCTTTACATCCGGGACACTATGTATGGTCAATATACCATTATAATCACATTCTTCTCATTATCTGTAATTGAAAGTTGTCATTATCACAGTGATTTGGGTTAAAGTATGGTCTACAATACATTTAAACCTAAATGATAGGTCTCTGAAAGATCGAAATGTGGTCCACATTAAATATTAACCTTCCCATTATCAAAATGTGGTCCCCTTTGAATATCAACCCTCCCATTATCAGTCATTGAAAGGTTAAAGTGCTGTCTGCATTATGTTACAGCCTCCCCGATGACCATTCATTAAAATGCTCAGGTATCACCTCCAATAATTTTTTCAATCATCAGTCATTGAAAGGTCAAAGTATGGTCTCCGATATATTACAGCCTTTCCTTACCAACTATCGGTCATTGAAAGGGATAAGTATGGTCTCGAATATGTTACAACCTTCCGAAGCATCAGTCATTGAAATGTCAAAGTATGGTCTACATCATATTACAACCTTCCAAATTATCAGTCATCGAAAGGTCAAAGTATGATCTCCAATTTATCAATCATTAGTCGTTGAAAGTCGAAGTATGGTCTCCGTTATATTATAATTAATTATTATATAATTGTAAGACTGACCACTATAAATAAATAAATAAACTAAACTAATAAACTATATTACACTTTTTTCCCAATTATCAGTCATTGAAAGGTCAAAGTATGGTCTCTGCAATATATTAGAACCTTCCAAATCATAAGTCACTGAAAGGTTAAAGTATTGTTTCTGTTATATTACAACTGTCCCAATTATCAGTCATTGAAAGGGCAAAATGTAATCTCCATAATCTCACAACCGTCCAAACCATCAGTCATTCAAAGGTCAAAGTATGGTCTCCCTAATACCACAACCTTCCAAATCCTTAGTTACTGAAATGTCAAAGTATGGTCTCCGTTATATTACAACCTTCCAAATCATAAGTCACTGAAAGGTCAAGGTATGGTCTCCGTTATATTACAATCTTCCCAAGTATAAGTCATTGAAAGGTCAAAGTATGGTCCCGTTATAGCACAACCTTCCAAATCATGTCACTGAAAGGTCAAGGTATGGTCTCCGTTATATTACAACCTTCCCATCAGTCATTGAAAGGTCAAAATATGGTCTCTTTTATATAACAACCTTCCAAATCATGTGACTGAAAGGTCAAAGTATTGTCTCCGTTATATTGCAACCTTCCAAATCATAAGTCACTGAAAGGTCAAAGTATGGTCTCTGTTATGTTGCAACTTTCCCAATTATCATTCATTGAAATGTAAAAGTATGGTCTCCGATATATGACAACCTTACCAATCATAAATCTGTTATAGTACAACCTTCCAAATCATGAGTCATTGAAAGGTCAAAGTATGGTCTATTTTACGTTATGGTTCAACCTTCCAAATTATGTCACTGGGAGGTCAAAGTATAGTCTCCGTTATATGACAGCCTTCCCAGCCATGAGTCATTGAAAGGTCAAAGTATGGTCCCCGTTATAGTGCAACTTTCTATACCATTAGTCATTGAAAGGTCAAAGTATGGTCCCCGTTATAGTGCAACTTTCTATACCATTAGTCATTGAAAGGTCAAAGTATGGTCCCCGTTATAGTGCAACTTTCTATACCATTAGTCATTGAAAGGTCAAAGTATGGTCTATGTTATATTACAGCCTTCCCAATCATAAGTCACTGAAAGGTCAAAGTATATAAAGGTCCAATATATCAAAATATTCCCAATCATCTGTCACTGAAAGGTGAAAGTATGGTCTATATTATATTACAACCTTCCCAATCGTCAGTCATTGAAAGGTCAAAGTGTTGTCTCCGATATGTTACAACCTTCCAAATCATAAGTCACTGAAAGGTCAAAGTATGGTCTTTGTTAAATTGCAACTTTCCCAATTATCATTCATTGAAATGTAAAAGCATGGTCTACATTATATAACAACCTTTCAAAGCATAAGTCACTGAAATGTCTATGTATGGTCTCCAGTTTATCAATCATTAATCATTGAAAATCAAAGTATGGTCTACATTATATTACAACCATCCCAATCATCAGTCATTGAAAGTTAAACGTGTTGTCTCCATTATTTACTTTTAAATTAAAGTATGGTCTCCATTGCATTACAACCTTCAAAATCATCAATCTCTGAAAGATGGAATTATGGTCTTCAATATATTACTGCCTTCAAAACCATTAGTCATTGAAAACTGAAAGTACGGTCTCAATTTATTATTATACAAGAACCTTCCCAATCACCAGACAATGAAAGGACAAAGTATGGTCACCATTATACTAGTTTTTCAATCTTTCAAATCGTCAGGAATTGAAAGGTCAAAGTATGGTTTACATTACATAATCTTCGCTTGATTCAGGCTTCAAATAATCGACCACTGAAAAATCAAAATGTGGACACCATACTGTTTGAACGCTACAATCATAAGTCATTACGAATCACCAAAAGTATTTAGCATGATGATCTAGCAATTATAAAAACAATTCAATCCTTTACACTATCAGTCCTGGATCAAGTGCAATTCTTGAAAGTAAGGCCAGGGTGCATGTTGGGAAATTTTCTGCATTCCTCAATTGAGTCACATGTTATTTTTCAAACAAGAATTACTCCTTCTCCACATTGTCTACATGTTCCAGATTTGCACAAAGAGTGCACTTATGTGCCTAGAAAAGACTTGTGAGAAAATTTGTTTTGTAAAATGTTTAAAAACGAGAAAATTCAGTGACAAAAATTCTGCAAATTTTCTGAATTGTTTCACTGAAGTTTCTTGTCTTTCATTCACTTCATCAAAACATTCTTCTCTTAGTCTTTTCTAGGCACGTAGGTGCACTCTTTGTGCAAAACTGGACGATATAGACAATGTGGTGAAGGAGTGATTCTTGTTTGAAAAATAAAGTGTCACAATAGAGGAATGCAGAAAATTTCCCATCATGCACCCTGACCTTCATCTGCACATCGCTTTAAAACGCAATCTTGTGCGTCAGCTATACAGGAACACGGGGCAACTGTTCAATCAACTTGACGATTTGATTGTACAATTCCAACGCAGTTTGTCTTTTCATAGGCAGCCACATTGAGTAACATTAGCGTTGAGAATGTGCCTAGATGGCCATTGTCCTTTGATGGTAATAACGTGGAAACTATCTAGTACTACAGGAACACAGCATAACTGTCCCTCAAACTCGTTACTTTGACTTTTCCAAGCGTTCCTGTTTCTCATCATGGCGTTCATAGAAATGAGAGTGGGGCTGGGAATGATGTTACATTTTCCGCTACAACGCCCTATGTCAACCATCGCAGTTGAGGAGAAGGTATCGTTGAAAACATTTCTTAAATCGACCATGTGTATTTGGCGCCTGCAATAGTCTGACGTTTTGACAGTTTCACTGGCACGGATAAGACTTAGCGTAAAGTTGGAAAACTCATTCTTCACCGCTTGTATGGAGCGATAAAGATCTCTCCTGCGTCCTCTGGAAACACGCTTTAGATTTCGTGGTGACTTTTGCAACTTATCCGCCATTTTGATTGTTTTTTTACCCGACTGTATCCCGTCGAAGTTAGACACTGAATAATCGGGTGGAAATTTAGATTGGGGCAAAAGGTCGTCTTCTGTGTTGTAAAATATCCACATCTCCGCCTCGAGTGACTCCTGTCGCCCTAGTTTGTGTATACTCACAGTCAATGATAGATAGTCATCAAGATCTTTCGGATTCAGGAAAGTGATAATCTCTTTCAACTTAGATAAATAGAAAACAGCGATTCTCGGGCTGTCGTCACTACCGGAGACATCACGTGACAGAACTGCCGTTGTTGTTTCGCATCCGCCATCCTTTCTACACCTGATGACATCAGCACTGAACGAACGAACGTATTTGTAGATCTCGCTGATGATCTTCAATTCAATTCTTCGTGGTTGCGTTAGCATCGCACCCGTGTAGAACTTACATCGAACGGTCTCAATATCTGAAAAATAAATCAAGATTATCGGTTATGAAGTTCATAGTATTAGAATTATCGATGGGACCAATTTATAACGCTAGTATAGGCCTACATAGGTATCTGTTCGAGGAATGATTTCCCAAGGTCAGATACTCGTACACACTATATAACCCTTGGAATAAAACCAATATCATGGGCTGCCTGTTTGTTGACCTAGATATCCTAATTGTTCTTTGTTCATATATCTCAAAAAAAAGTTTTGTTCTTACATGTAGGTTGGCAATTCTCAGCCCTCATTTATAAACATTCTATGGTGAAACCAATATTTAGAGGTTTTAAACTAAATGTGTTAACCTATAATAAATCAAAAAAATATATATATACCGGTATATTTATTGTCAACTTCATTAATAAACACATCTTGAGTCTAAAACTAATAAGGCATTCATGCACACCGACGGAATGACTCTATTGCATAATGCACTGCATTATAAAACCAACTAACCAACAAAGGTCATTTGTTGAATGGTTGCCCTTAAAATTGATGCTTTGCCACATGACCTGCAAAAATATCCATTGAAAATATGTTCTTGCAGGTGATTTCTTAGAAAAAATTTAGCAATGTGTGAAAAGAATTTCAGCCCAAGACTCGATGCATTGTGGCTGATTCATTCCACTCTGCGAAACTCGTGCAACGGTTGAAACAACACCTTTTTAAGAAATGATTCAGCACACAATGCACCTAGTGTTGGGCTTAAATTATTAAACATGGCTGAAAATGCACGTTATTATGACTGAAATGCACGTTGTTTTGACTGAAAATGCATGTTCCGGTGACCCACATTGCACCACGTGTACTGTCAGGTATCACGAGTAAAGTGCGCGCTATTGTTCAAACAGTGTCTCGATGAAAGTGGCTAAAAATGGGGGAAATGCGAAAAGATCCCAGGGAAAACTGGATAAAAGCTACTTAAACAATGTGATCAGAAAGCTGAAAGGACAGGTTCAGATCTGTAAAAAGGAAGTTTAAGGTTTAAAGGTTTCTATAATCATATTACTTAATTCCTATTAACATACACAACGAGGGCCGAGGTACTGTTATAATTAAATACAAACATAATTAAAAATACAAGTTGCAAAGAAAACTTTGGGTCAACTTAGACATGCAGAGCAGAAATACTACTCATTCAAAGTTAAAACAATTGACTGGAGAAGACCTGCAGTCATTTCAACAATTTTCTGATTTGTCAGACGTGATAACGATGAGTCGCCATACAACATTAAATTCACACCTTATCTTGCTGTCTGAGTTGACCAAATAAAGTTCAACTGATCAACTTTGGCTTTTTGTCAATCAATTAAAATCCAAACTCGCCATTGATGCTGAAACTCAATAGCGTACAGCAGTGGGTTCATATTTCTATGAGCTCTTTTCCTCATTATTTCGTGAACTGACGTATATATACGTATGAAAGTGACTTTCTGGTGACCCAAGAGGGGTAACGCCCTGGAATTCAATGAGGAACCCATCCATATATTGAGATAAACCTTAAGAGGACCACATCTACATGGATGTGAATTCTGGGATATTTTGTGCTCCTGGCAGATCCGAATTCAATGACGTATGGATCATGCCATATATAGAACACAATATCTATAACTCTTATTCTTTAATTCAAAATACCCAATATATATGTCCAAGATCCATCGTAACAAAGGAAGATAATGTGACGAAGAACGCGAACCAGATTCCCAGTCGGATTTTTTAATAGATAACGTCAATATATGATCGTAAATGAATAGACGTGTCGCAAAAAGGTCGCGCACGCATTGTTACACATTTTCGCTTTTTAACACCACAGAATGTGACATTTTTTCAAAAATGTACACATATGGAAATCCTTTCGTCCTCCACATTTGCCTCTATATCTCAAAATATTCAAGGCGAATAACTCTGATATCGTATATGTATTAACAATGGAGTAGGAGCATCATAAAACACGAATCAATTGATATTTTAGGTGAAATAAATATACGTGTTGATGTGCTTGAAAATAGGCGAATGGCGTAATTATCCCTTTTTAATGAATTTTGAAAACCTTTCGTCCTCCACTTTTCCACATAAAACAGAAAACACATACTTTTGTGAACAAAACCAACTATTTATTAATAAACTAGAGTTTAAGAGCAAAATAATCATGTATGATTTATTAAAAATTGATCTCGTATTTTTTGTTTAATGTACACCTGAAAAGGTGAAGGTAACAAAAAATGAGCAAAAAAGGTCGCTGTCAACATATTATATTTTTCAAACTCTATGACGTCACAATATGGGACGCTTACTAAAATTCATCCTTTGAAATAAAACTTCAATCTACCTTTATCAAAACGAAAAATAAGTATAATAGTCATATATTGTTTGAGTTATGAGCTTTTAAAGACGAAAAATAATTCAAAATGTAACGTGTCAACAGGGGATATTTGCCAGATACAAGTTACATTCACGCGAAACCCTTAAAAAACAAATGCGCCACCTTTTTGCGACACGTCATAGAAATCGAAACCTACTCAGGAACACCATTAGCCGATTAGTGGCTTGTTTGGCCAAATGTCTTATTAATTACCTCATATCGGTAAGCCATAAACACTGTGTGTATAGAGATGTAACTATACCCTCGAACATACGAGTCCTGCTACATTTAAAAATTGCATTTGACCAAATAGGGCCAATGGGCTAGATTTAACGTGAACTCGATTGCATTTTATGTAATTTTGTAATTAGTTCAGTATCAAGTCAACGCATGCTTTCAACACGGCAAATATCTCGAAAGCAAGTACCCGTAAAAAACATCGATCCAAAATATTGGAAGTTGGAACCATCCATGAACATTTCGAACACTTACAATAGTACGCGAACTTCGTTAGCTCCAAAAATGTCGCGTTGTGGTGACTGTACATCACTGTACATAGAAACAATTAGACTCAAATGTTTGTGGACACTGAAAATTGATTGATTCAAAAGTAAAATGTTATTTAATCGAATTCCCTCTTGTTCTGTCGCATATGGTATCTCAGACGGCGCATTTACGCGAAGTAGCCAATTACACACGTGGGCTGTGATTGCCGTTGTTTGTAATTAGTAAATTAGTGATTCCAAACAAATAGTTTAGAAAATACAATTATTATAGGCACGTACGTGTTCCAAGCAAAATATTAAAATAACTATTACATTTTTGAGCAGTTTTGACACCTAAGCAGTGTGGCCTCATTGGTTAGGGGGTTACGCCGTGGTCGAACGTAGTGGTATACGGAGGTCCCGCGTTCGAGCCCCAGGTACGGAGTTTTTGATCATTGCACTACGGACACTCGGTTCGAAGGTCCAACCGTTTACCGGCTCTTGGCATGGGTTGGTTCTCTGGCCGCTCTTGCCGGAGACAGATTGTGAGACTGTGGTTGGTTCCTCCACTAACGTGCTTTAGTAGACCCCGGAAGTCATACAGTATGGCAGCGGGCCCCCGCCAAGGGCAGTAGTGGAACGACGCGATTCAGTCCCAGTATGGTTGCCTTGCAACTGAAGAGACTCGAGGAAATCATGCCATTCGCGGTGACCCAGAAAAGACTTTTGCTCTTTAATACAATCAATAATTTATTCATTTACTGATTCACAATTCTCTATTTTTTATTTACTAGTATTTAATTATAATCTATTCGAAATAAAAATCTGTTTAAGGTACTGGTTTAAGACCCGGGTCGTGTCCGGTACCGATACGTGCGATAAAGAGGGGGAGAAACCCCAATGTTCAAAGATGACATACGCTTATAATGTAAATCTGTTTTGAGATGACATCGTCGCTGATTGGTTTAGGGAGTCGATCTTTGATTGGTTTAAAACTAAGTCAATTTGAAAACTTTGAAAACCAAGATGGATGGTGTGTACTTCCGGGAAAGGAGGTGCGCGAAGGAGGAAATCGTATGTCATCAATTGAATCATGGTTTTTTCTCCTCTTCGTGCGATACAATACTCTATGGGGTGAACTACAGTCTATTCCTTGGACGTCGAACATGTACGGTCTCACCATCTACTTTTAGAATTTACAAAACACACAGATTATTCATCGAGTGAATCTGATTTGTTTCGTGTCTGCCGGAAAACTTTAATCATAACGGAGGTCGTCATGGTGAAAAAACTGCAAAAACAAGGGGGATGCGTTTACTTGCGTTCTTGGTGCCGAAAATATGATTTCTTAAAACACATATAAAAGCTATGTTCACACCAACGGCGAATGGCATGCTTTAAATCGGCCGTCATTTTTGTTTACTTTTCCAAAAATACCACGATCCCCTAAGTAATGTTACGCTCTGATAAGCTCTGATACGCTCTCACTCTTAAAAATGAATTACTTGAGTATTTCCCAAGTATTTCTCAAGTATAAAAATTTCTTAAAGTTAAATACTTAGTTTTACTTCATTTTACTTAGGTTTAACTTATATTGTCATTTTGAGTTTTTTAATTGCTTAATTATGTAAATGAGTATTACAATTACTACAGTAAGTATTTCAATTTCTCTCCTTGCATTAGTAAATTCACCATAAATGAATTACTTAAAAATTACTCAGTAGTTCAAGATTATTTAAGTAATTTTTGACTTAAAATGAGTAGTACAATTTCTCAATATAAGGAAATCCAAGTAATAATTTTTAAGAGTGCTGATTTCCCGACTTGTTACGGTTCCTCTCGCTTTGATCCCGCTTCGGCCAGGCTTCGTTTCGCTTGAAATCACGCTTTGGTAAGCTTTGATAAGCATTATTACGCTTTGATGTGACTATGACGCTTTAAATCAGGCTTTGATACGACTGCCAAGCTCTGTTGTGCATTGTTACGCTCTGTTAAGCTCTGTCACGCTTTGAAAATGTCGAGATCGCCGATTTCATCCCGCTTTTGATCCAATGACTATATGAAGATGCAGTAGATTTATGCTGTAGATT